CGCAGCCAACCGGGTACCCCGCGGTGCCCCGCAGCGGAAGGGACAACGGCTGTGAACGGCTCCCCGCCTCCCTGGCCTGCGGCCCACCATGCACCACCACGGCGTGTTTGGTGGCTTTCGTGTGGGGAGAGGCCTTCCAGGCGTGTGCCCAGTCCGCGTACACCCGGAGGGAGTGTTGGGCAGCGCCACGGGTCGAGCCAAGCAGGACCGGGTCGTCTGCGTGGAGAATGGCGGCAAGGCGGCGGGGGGCGGCCAGGTCCAGGGCTGCCAGAGCCGACGCCTCTAGACGGGCGTCCGCCGATAGGTCTGCCGAGGAGGGAAGGGAGTCTCCCTGGCGCAAGGCGCTGCGGAGGGCTGCTGTGACCTCGGCGTCTGAAGTGCCCGTGCCCACCCATGCATGCCTCGACCAGCACCCCGGCATGCGGACTCCGAGGCCCACGCCGCATCCCCCCTGGTGTAAGGCCTCGGCCAGGGAATCCATGTACACGGGGAAGGCGAGCGGCCCCAGGGAGCCCCCTTCCGCAATGCCCTCCGTGATGAGGACCGTCTCTACGCCGTTGAAGTTCACATGCACGGTGTCCGAGGCGAGCATGCTGTCAAGGAGAGAGAACATGCCTGGCCCGACCCTGCCTTCCTGGTGCAGCCTTAGCAGTAGCCCCCCCCCTCAAGGTCCGGGGGAAGGCCTTCTGCAGGTCCCCGAAGACCACCCACAAGGGCCGATCGCTGCCTGCCGCTTCCGCCGCTACCTCGTGGAGTGCGAGGTGGGCGTCTCCCACGTCGCGGACGTAGCCGCTTTGGCCAGGGAGGAGAGAGGCGCGGACCGAGTCGCGCAGCCTGCAGTGCACAACGGACTCCTGGAGCAGGCCGAGCTGGGACTTGACCATGATGAGGCGGAAGGACTTACCGACATCGGCAGGACCCGACTTGTGCAGCGGAACGGCGCAGCTCCCTCGCCACGCCGCTGGCCGCACTGCAAGGCATCCTGGCCCGGTCAGACGCAGCACAACCCACACTGCCTCGTCCAGAGCCGGATCCCCCAGTTGGAAAGCCCGGCGAGGAACCAGGTCTGGCGTGGTGGCGCTCGTGTGCCCCATGGAGCCGAGCGTCGCGAGAACTTCTGAAGCTACAACTGGCCCGTCGTGGGCCCCCTTGCCCCTGTCCGCTCTCGCGCGGCCCCGTACGGACGGCAGCGTGGTGACCACCTGTTCGTGGAATGCCTGATCCCATGGACCGGGCCACACCGTTTGCGCCCGCAGCTGGTCCACCCACGCCCTCCGAGACGCGTCAGGCGACAGCAGTTGCCGGTCGCGTCCTCTGAGGCAGGATGCTGGCCGCTGCTCCCGAGGCCGCAGCAGCCGCAGGCACTTGGCTGCCCGTTCAGGGGCTGTGCCTGGGCCTTCCAGGGCTGCGCGAACACGACCTCGTAGGGGCCGCAGTTCCTCGCGAGGGGCCCAGGGGGTCGACGCTGACCGTGGAACCACCCAGCCGGCCAGGATCAGCCCCAGGATGACATGAAGGAGCCAGGACACGGCGTCTGCCAGCCACTGCGCCGCAGTGGAGGAGGAGGAGGAGGAGGAGGAGGAGGAGCCAGGAGGAGGAGGAGGAGGAGGAGGAGGAGGAGGGGGAGGAGGGGGGAGGAGCGAGGAGGAGGAGTGTATTGTTTGCGGAGGAGGAGGAGGAGGAGGAGGAGAAGGAGGAGGAGGAGGAGGAAGAAGAAGAAGAGGAGGAGCCAGAGGATACGGAGGATGCGGATGATGGTGATGATGATGATGATGACGATGATGCTGATGATGATGTTGATGACGATGGTGATGATGCTAATGATGATGCTGCTGATGATGATACTGATGATGATGATGATGATGATGATGATGATGCTGATGCTGACGATGATGATGATGATTACGATGGTGATGATGCTGCTGATGATGATGTTGATTCTGCTGATGATGAGGATGATGACGATGACGATGATGGTGATGATGCTGATGCTGCTGATGATGATGATTCTG